TCGGTCCGTTTTCGCCGTAATGGAAACTGCAACTCCAGTCGATGAGATAATTGTTCTGGGTGACTTCAATCTAGCTGGTGTTTCGTGGAAACCAACTCACAGTGGCTTTTTCTATCCAGACCCTGTACGCTCTGTATTTCATATAGGATCAGTTAGCCTTCTCGATAGCTATAGTGCAGCAATGCTATCTCAAATCAATGACGTAGTTAACGAGAACAATCGAAGCTTAGACCTCTGTTTCGTTAGCGCTCAGGACACTGCTCCAGTTATCTCCACGGCACCTTCTCCACTAGTAAAGCAAGTTACTCGCCATCCTCCTTTGGTTGTCGCTGTCCAAGATAGTGACGTTCGGGATTTTGAAGACATTTCCACAAACGTGTCATACGATTTTCGGAAAGCTGATCATAGAAGTATGATCGACGTGCTGTCTAGCATAGACTGGGGAAGCGTCCTGGACCCTGATAACGTTGAAACCGCTGCGCAAACTTTTTCACATGGAAATTCACCAATTATCGTACGCTGTCGCTGAAACATCATTACGTTAGGCTCAATCATGAGTTCAAGCGAGTTAGTCATCGATGCTATTCACGATATCAACATGGGATTCAGAGTAAACTCAAGTCACACCCGAAGTCCTTCTGGAATTACGTTAACGAGTAGCGCAAAGCGTCTGGCCTACCATCGTCAATGATGTTCAACGGAGAGGTTGCTTCCACCTCTCAGAAGATCTGTCGCTTGTTTTCAGACAAGTTTGCCAGCGTATTCTCTGATGAGCTATCTAGACCAACAACTGAAACAGGCGGAACAATCAAACGTAAACAATGACTTCAAACGCAAATTCATCGAGAATCAACCCACTCCCACGCAAACTAACCATGCCATGCAAAAAAGAAAGTTGGCTCTATCAGATGGTGGTGTTGCGTTTAAAGCCATAGTTTACGTTTGGTTGTTCCGCCTATTTCAATTGTTAGTCTAGATATTAACCGACGACCACGTTACCCTAGTAATGTACCACTCTCCGGTCAAGCCGTTGGGTGCAATTGACATCGAAGTCGAGATGATTTCCACTACCGCACAACAACTTAAGTCGTCCTTCAACCCAGGACCCGATGGTGTCCCATCAGTATTCCTGAAGAAGCATATCACCAGCTTGCTGACACCGTTGCAGCATCTATTCCGCATGTCCATCTCGAGTGGTATATATAGTGGGAAACAAACGGGACGTGGATAATTACCGTGGAATCACATCGTTGAGCTCAGTTTCGAAGTTATTCGAGTTAGTCATCATGGAGCCCCTGCTCTCTCATTGTAAGCAATATCTAAGTAGTGATCAACATGGCTTCGTTTCCGGTCGTTCTACTACCACTAATCTACTTTGTCTGACATCGTATGTCACGGAAAGCATGACAGAACGGGCTCAAACAGACGTAATTTACACCGACTTGTCGGCTGCATTCGATAAACTGAACCATGCAATTGCGATTGCTAAGTTAGATAGACTCGGGGTAAATGGCAACCTCCTGCGATGGTTTCCCTCTTATTTCAGTGATCGCCAGCTTATGGTAACCGCTGGTGAATGTCAGTCTGTTGCTAACCCAGCCACGTCAGGGATACCGCAAGGAAGCCACCTAGGCCCGTTGATTTTCCTGTTGTTCCTCGTCTATCATATGCAGATAATCTTAAAATCTATATCCGGACCCGTTCTATCGATGACTGTCACTTCCTCCAATGCCAGCTCAAAGCATTTGCTAACTGGTGCAACTTGAACCGAATGGAGGTCAACCCCGCGCAGTGTTCAGTTATCACCTTCTCTCGCAAGAAGGAACCGATCATGTTCAATTATGTACTTCAGGAAACAACTATCAGCCGTGTCAACCACGTAAAAGACCTGGAAGTTATTCTGGATTCCCAGTTAACGTATAAGCAACACATCTCGTTCATTGTCGACAAGGCGTCAAGATCTTTGGGATTCATTTTCAGGATTGCAAAGAATTTTACCGATATACATTGTCTCAAATCGCTATACTGTTCCCTGGTGCGGTACACTCTGGAATATTGCTCTGCAGTATGGAACCCAAGCTATAACAATGGTGCTGAAAGAGTTGAGTCCATTCAGCGTCGATTTCTTCGACGCCCTGCTCATCGTGGATAGTTTACAGGGTAGAATTGATTATTCTACAATCCTGGAGAAGATCAACGTGAACGTCCAACCCCGAGTGCTACGAAATAACGCTATGTTAAGATTGCCTCAGCATCGTACTAACTATACACAGAAAAAAATTCTGAATTTTAACTGTCGCGTAAAATCTCCCTTCGTTTAATTTTGAGCTACGCTTGACATAAACAGCGAAATCGTTTACAAGCTTGCATACAATATTGCTTATTTATGCGATATTGCGCTTAAATTTAAACGAAATATCGCGTAAATTTATGCCAAATCTAGCGTTAATTTTATGTGCGCTATATCTCGCAGAAATTTACATGAATTTTTCGAACGGTGTAGCATGAACGGTGCGATAGACGGCCTTCAACGTGTGTTCAATCGAGTTTCTTCAGTGTTCGATTTCAACCTGACACGAGAGATGCTACGCCGCCGGTTTTCCCTTACTTTCTCTGACGCAGTAAACCGTTGAATGACCATGTATTTTATTGTATTGTGTTTTTTCGTAAGCTGGACTATGTATTTTAATGTTATTCACTTAAACATCATTGTGGCTACAATCAGCCTGTTGATGTAAACTAATAAATAAATTAAAATAAACTAAACAATATGATTAAAACCCTGCTTAATCTAATCTGAAGCCTTGAATGAATATCCAGAGGACTTTAAAAGTTACAGAAGCAGTTGAACAGATGAAAATCTTCAAAATAACATTTGATTAACCTGTACACGGCGAATGAGAACGACCCAAATTTGAGTTTAGTTCACTCATAATCGCCAAAAGTGCAGGAACTCAGCGATGAGTAAAATTTGTCTCATTGGTTCCTGTGGAAAACCTGAAAAATTTGCCGGAAAATGAGGAAATTGACGAAAATTTTATTCAGTCTCGGAGTAGTACCAATAGACTGAGTGAATCCAATCTTTACTTTTCTCAAGTTCGGGAATTTTTCCCTGGAAAATCCTGGGAAAACATGAGGCAAATTTACTCATCGCTGAGTTCCTGCACTTTTGGCGATTATGAGTGAGTTAAACTCAAATTTGGGTCGTTCTCATTCGCCGTGTACTATTGAAAGTATATCCAGAGGACTTAATTGAATTATTCGGCCATTTGGAGGATTTAAGACTACACTGGAGTCGCTTTTTACGCGGTTTTTTTTACACTTTTTTTTTATGCGGATTTCGGAATTTACACAGTTTTTTTACGCGGATTTCGGAATTTACGCGGTTTTTTTACGCGGATTTTGGTTTTTTTACGTGGATTTTAGAATTTGCGCGGTTTATCGTTATACACTAGAGTCGCTTTTTACGCGGTTTTTTACACGGTTTTTTTACACGGTTTTTTTACGCGGGTTTTTTTACGTGGATTTCGGAATTTACGCGGTTTTTTTTCGCGGATTCCGGAATTTACGCGGTTTTTTACGCAGTAAGCGACTCCAGTGTACACAGAAAAAAATTCTGAATTTTAACTGTCGCGTAAAATCTCCCTTCGTTTAATTTTGAGCTACACTTGACATAAACAGCGAAATCGTTTACAAGCTTGCATACAATATTGCTTATTTATGCGATATTGCGCTTAAATTTAAACGAAATATCGCGTACATTTATGCCAAATCTAGCGTTAAATTTATGTGCGCTATATCTCGCAGAAATTTACATGAATTTTTCGAACGGTGTACTTCTTAATTTGAATATCTATACAGTTGGAAATGGTCAGAATAATACCTTGAATTAACATTCAGAATACTATTGATATTAACTATTAAAATCTCTCTATTGTTCGCTTGTTCGATCGACGCTTGAGTATTGTTCAGCGGTTTGGAACCCAAACTACAACAACGGTGCCGAGAGAATTGAACCTAGAACTTCTCCGAACTAGAAGAGGCACAAACAGAGCCCTAACCGTGGCCGATATCCTGCAAGGAAGGACAGATTGCGAGGCTATCCTGAGGCAAATTGCCATTTGCGGAAAAATAGTTAGACTTTTCTGTCCTAGAAAAAAGATTCCAGTTTTTGTCGCACAGTGATATCGTTTTGAAAATTCATCAAAGCTACCAAAACTGACATTTTTTTTCACAGGTAATGACTTACTAATTTATAGCAATCGGTGATGTCGAGTTGCTGTTTTCCAGAAAATAATAGTTTGCTGGATCATTTTCAGTTATCCTTTAGTCTGGAAGAGTTAATCGAAATTTGGCGTGCATTAAGTTTCGAATATCATTTTCCGACATGATGGATGTGGTTCTTGGGCGAGCTCCATCGTCGAGCTTAAAGGATAACCAATTTTATAGGCTGTGTAATTGTAACCATTTTAGACCACCCTAACGAACTAGCATTATTTCCTGGAACATTCCCAACATGCTGATTGTTGCAAAAAACCTGCTGACAGCCTTGTTACAGCTGATGATTTTGTGCAAATTAACTGCAAAAGGATCATCGATTTTATAGGCCAAGTAGAGTAATATAGCATATTGGTATTCTATTTGCATGTTTCGTGCAGTTTGTCTGATGGTTATTTCTACCTGTCATGCTAGAAAGATAGTCCACGCCGGTTGCATGTCAGTCGTATATGTTCGTGTCCTAAATATAAAACTCTGGCCCCGCTTTTCGTATCCTTTTACAAGGTATAGACTCGTCGGTTCTATATTCTATATTGTATTGTCTGTGAGATTTTCTCAGTGCCCAACAGTCTTTGCCATCAGTCATCGTTGTTGGTGAGACAGAAAAAAGGGTGCATGTCAGTTCGCATGTTACAAAAAGGATGTTTGTATTTATTTCACGTGGGCCAGCGCTACTATTTTTAGAGTTGAGTTGATCGCTAGACCACTATATGTGTACTTACCGGCCAACAGGTACATGAAGCCAGTGACCAATACGGCGCTAATCTGTCGTTGACATACGCCGAAGGCCCCAATCAAAGCAGCACTGCCTAGTATGATAAGGCACACCAATGAGCACGAGATCGATAAATTCTGCATTCCTGGATGTTGCGTTGGTTGGCAAAATAGAGAATCATACAGGTTAGACCAAGTTGACTTAGGTTGTGATAATGAAAGCAAAAGTGTGAGAAGGAATAAAAAGGTTACTAGCACTAGTGCACGTGTTGAGGCGGTTGTGAAATGAAATCACATTGTGAGAGTGTAAATTGCAGTGAGCTGGTGGGCTATATTCGTGTTTTTGAGAAAGCGGCATTTTGTTTTTGTAGCTAAATGAAGCAATGGTGGTGATGCCCTATGCCCAATGGATAATGTTGAAGCATTTTGTCGGTCCTATGGCACCGGTAAGCAACACTATTCATCTTTCAATATATATTTGTTGAAAAACTGCTTCAGACGGCAGTTTTGAGTTTTTTACTTTTTGAGAGTGAAGATTGAAAACATGCCTTTTTTCAGCCACGGGCAACTCCAATAAGAAAATTGCAGATTGTAAAATTTTAAGAAACTTCATGAAAAGACAATGATTATCACTTAGAATAAACAGTAGGGTCAATGTGAGTTGATTGCTTGATTGTTTGCAAAGGTCTTGTGTAAGTGACGAACCAGTCTAGGCTGGCTCTAAATCTATCTTATAAAGAAAACTAACTAACTAAGGTTTTGTGTAGCAATAAAGTTCCAATCAATTATCAATAAATATCTAATGCTGTCTGGCATTTTTTTAAAACTTTATTAGTGAGATTTTGAGCTCATTGGCTAGTTCATCTCGTAATGCCTGGTATTTCTTATATTCTACCGATAGCGCAAATGTTACATTTACAGAACAGTGCATTGTTATGTTAATTGATTATTGATTGTGAGTGGGAATGTTTTTTTTTGTTGGCGCGTATGGTTGCAGCTTGATGTACATGCCGTCTGTATAAGCTCTAGATTTGGCGAAGCAAAACTTTACTCTGTGGTACAACGGATGTGAATAAACAGTAATCTCCTCATTGAGAAATATATATGAAAAACCTTGACACTGGCCACTGGCCTTAACGATTTCACACTATATGATAGACAAACATGTACATGTGGTTTCATTTCTCCAAATCTATTGGAGGATTTCAACGGATTAAGTGACAGTGAAGAGAAAAGGAAGGAGAAACATAGTCACTGAGACGATAATATGACAACAGAGATAGTGACAGATTCGAAACAAGTTAACACGTTTTTCACACGCAGTTGTACCTACTTAAATGCGGATGTAATGAGGGCTGGAACTCACTGTGTTGCCATTCAGCACGGGAATTTTCTTCGTTGGCTTGTGAGCTGTCGGTGTTATCAGCGAGATAGTTGACGCACTGATCTACCTGTGGAAAGCCGTCGCTCGACAACGAACGGATTTCCTCCGGTGTGAGATCAATACATAGCGTCCAGATGCCACCATTCATCGGCACCAGAAAAACGTTTGCTCTTTTGTCAATGGATGGTTTGTTGTTTTTCAGTACATAGCGAGGGATATCGAATTCTGGAAATATATTTAGATACCGATTATTCAAGTCTATGTAAAAAAATTCAGAAGATTTAATTTCAAGTATTCTAAATTCGGATGCACTCATTCTGTTGATTATAACTTTAAGATCAGAGAGGTTTCTATAACATTTCCCCCAACGTCAATAGACCGAATGTCACTAACCCGAACGAAACACAAGCCCGAATCGATGGAATTTGAGCCCAGTATTTGTAACTTTGTAGAACGCTCACAAAGTTTCTGAAATGTCTGATATTCTGATTTCCCATCAAACATTCAAATACTAGAATTCAGAAATATTTAAAAGAAGAAGGAAGAATCTTCTCTAAAATTAATTAGATTCTGACTGATTGACTTTTAAATCCCAGATCTCACAAATTCTACCAAAGTTCTTTTGTAAGTTTCGCAGTACAGTAAAACTCGAAAGAACTGTTCTTGTTTTAAATAAGAAAAACCCCCTAAAATTATAATTTTCGGACAAGTTGAATTCGGGTAGGTCTTACATTCGAACTAGTGTCATTCGGGCTTGATCCATTTGTAAAAATAATCTATTTTTGGCGATGTAACCAAATTTTCGAGGACTACAAAAATACAGTGCCTTTCCGCTTTTGGCAACACAGGGTTCTGTCTTCTTTGTTTTCTATACAGATCCATTGTGATTAACTGGACCATTCATTAGCGAATACATTAGCGATGCCTCGTATTTCATTAAAGATTGTCCAGAAGGCACTAGGCCTGATAACGCTGTGCAACCGCTTTTCTCAGACAGATTTATGCAACGATATTTGACTTTCTTATAGTCTTCGGAGTTAAAGTCTAGAGTATGCTTTTGCCGTAACACCTCAGGTTTTTTAGGTACCGTCCTCTGCATAAAACTGAACCGCCCTACAGACGTGTACGACAACAGCGAACTTGCAACCCAGAGGTGCTCCGCATTTTGAAACACATCGCCTGATATTAGAAATATCACCGAAATCGAGATAGCGTTTTCAAATGTTCTTGACAAATATTCCTTGAGTTATTTTCTACAAATGGCCCTAAAACTCTAAGAATTGTTCGAAAACATGTTTAGTACATTAGAACTAATTGGGGGTAGTGATCTGAATTAGAGCGACATTCGTAAAATGGTAATTTCATATTCACAAAAATGACGTTTCTCAAATAGCAGCGCTTGGGTCGGGTGCTACCGTGCTGCTATATTTAGTGACCCGGTGCTAACCGAGAGGCTGATTGCTATTTTACTCACCCGTATAGCATCGCTTGCTTATCGTGTGCTTTGTGAAACATTTCATATTCGTCGTCGCCGTCGGTACCGGGTTTGATAACTCAACCATATATGGTATGATGTGATAGGAGGGGCTCGGGGCCCTTAAAGTGACTGCTTTTTCTTACTGAGAAGAGCATCATGAGCTTAATCTCAAGCCCCTCCACATTCAAGGTTTTTTTTAATTTGTTTTCATTTGCTTTATTTGTTAATATCAATACATGGTTATAACAACAACTCGGTCACAAGTGGTGTGTCGTGATATAAGGAGCTCGTTTAACTAGTGGAAAACGTTTCTGCTTATTAAGAAGAAGACCGATTGTTCAGACATCAATTCAGTTTATCGTTTACCAAAACAAATCCTGCTGCAAACCCAACCCTTTTATCCAACATCCCAGTGTCACGTCAACACCTAGTTTGAGATAATCAGTATTTACCCATTAGGTCGTATGAATAAAAGCGTTTACTTTACTTTTCCCGTAAGAAAAGCACGGGAAAGTAAAGTAAACTCTTTTTATTCATACGGCCCATTGAGGATGAATGCTAGTCCTAGCATTGTCTATTGGTTTTCTGTATAATTACAGCTGATCTATCAATAGTGGAGTATCATCCGCGGGCGGTCAACCATGTTCATTCGAAAAATGGTAATTTTATACTTATCAAAGTAACCCTGCTGGTCTTAAAACAAGAACGAGCAGCAAATAAAAGAAGGAAATATACGACTAGCTCTTATTAAACTCGAAGTATTGCAGATTTCACACCTCTTTAGATTCCTGCGCTAAAAATAAGTAGGGTAAACGCTCCTATAGTTGCGGTACGTCTCCATACACAACTATAGGAACCTAACGCTTCTAACGTTACGCAACTATAGGAGCGTTTCCCCTACACAGGCAATCAAAGTGTTTGTTACTTCATGTGTGAAGTTTACGATTCCAGAGTTGATAGAAAATGCTATACTAATATCAACATGAAGGTTTAGTGTGATAATTGATTAGCTAGAGAAAGTTCTGAAGAGGATAGATTGATAGTTTCGTTAGATTACGGCAGTGTTAAAATTGAACAGAAGTTGAAATTGAGCGAAGGGCCATTGATACGACAATACTAATCGATGGGTGAGGGGACTTGAGGTATTTCCTCAAATCCACAGGCAAAAGAGTGCGCGTTTGACTTGCTCATATACTGTCTGAGGGTTCTGTAGACCATGATTTAGACTTGTTGAATGCTATAAAACCTCAATAAAACTTACAATGTTACTTGGGAATTGAGAGTGCATTTTAACGAGAGTTCTGAGAAGAATTCTATGATGATTGGATGAGTATTCTAGTTCCAATTCTAATAAGAATTCAAAATTAGTTCTGAAATTTTGCTTAAAAGGGGCTCTATTGAAAATTCCATGAAAATCCCGTTAACTCCAAAGATGGTCTCTGCGGATCTGGGGTGATTTCTGACAATACTTCCAAGAAAATTCTAAAGAGTTCGAAATAAATTCCGAGAAGAATTCCAATGGAATCGAATTTTCAGGGTTCAATCTCAAAGGAATTCTGAGAAGAGTTTCAACATTTGTGATTTGAATTTATGAAATTTCTGAGGTTAATTGCATGGAAATTCTTAGGATGGATATATGGAAGGAGCCTTCAGGGAGTTCCTAGATGAATCAATAAATAATCGAAAATCTACTTTAACTAATCATGTGTTATTACTTCATGCGTGAATTAAACGATTTACATAGTCGGAGATACTTAACGTTAAATATCAGACTTAAAGTGGAAATTGTATACGATCAATTATGAGATTCAATTATAGAGTTGATGGTTCCGTTATAGTACGGCAGTGTGAAAATTGTATTTGTATATAGAATGCGAATAAAGGACAATTTTGAGAAAGGTACGAATCGGGTAGTTGTTTACGTCAGGTGGCGACTTGAGCGTGAAACAATCGATAGAACTGTTTCCGCACATCAGAGGTACATGAGCAAATCGGCGATCATCCCTTTTGTCAGTGGTGGCAAGGGTGAAACACCCCTCACCATCCCTCATTAACGGATGAGCTTGGTAAAGGAGATGCTCTACCCTATTCGTACCTTCCTCAAAATTGTCCTTTGTTCACTTTCTTCTTTATGTATACAAATTTCACACTGCCACACTATAACGGAACTATAAACTCTTTACTTTCATCTCCTCATCTATCGTATAAAATGTCCACATTAATTCTGATATTTGATGTTAAGTATTTCCAACTACGAAAATAATCTATTTCCAAGAATTTTGTTGATTGTTCTGCAAAGAATTTCAAGAATGCAATCTTATGTTTGTAAAAGCTAATTTGCCTCTAAGTTAAGAGAAAGGGAATCATTCTAAAAAAGTTCTTGAGATCATTCTGTGAAAAGTTCATAGCAAATTATCAAAGTTATCTACCTAGACATATAAAATATTTAAAGATTTCGAACGCAGAATCAAATTAAAGATCATAAAATGGGAATTACTATTTGCTAGTCATCATGTACAACGTAAGCAAAAGTAAATTATTCAAATCACTTCAAATGCTCTTCACAGGAAATTCCGTTGTGAGATTCGATTAAATTAGAGGAATTTATGAAATTTGATTTTAAGTTCCATGACATATCAAACCGTATTTAAATTTCTAAGTTACCATATTAATGGTTGCTTATTTAGTATTTACAAGTCACTATTTGGTCACTATTTCCGTAATTTTAGTCACTAAAATCACTACTATTATATCACATCAGCACTACCAGCCCTGCACATATTTACACCGAAAATGGTGACAAAATCACGAAACAGTACACTGTGGCAAATAAACTTAAGAATTCCATAAGGCATGACTTATGAACCTGGACAATTTTGATTTCATAAGACGCTTATGAATTCCATATACACGACTTGAATGATTATCGTAGTACATTAGGTGGTTTTTATACATCCTTATAAGGCTATAGCCATCCTTATACTTCCCAGACAACCAGAAATCGTATAACAATGTACACACAGTATCGTAAATTGCTACAGTTTAAGTCAAAATCGCATATAAGTATGGCATACCTCGCATTATGTTTAACTTAAATCGTATAGAATGCAAATTTCCGACCTATATGCGATGACTCATTTTTCCGTCGTACTGTATCCCAAATTAAATCGGATTACATCGTAAGACTTTTCAAAATGAATTTGTTATTACAGATTAAATCGTGTATGATGTTAAATCAACTCGTTTAAAATTAATTTAAAATATGCACGTATATGGCCTCCACTTTTGTACGTATAAGCCATTTATTTGCATTCTATACGAATTGTTCGTTTGTATATATGTTTGTATATCACGAAAACAACTTTGAATATACGTGCATTCTGGTTGTCTGGGTTATGTTTCTATAATAAATCCTAATAAATCTTTATGTCGAAAAATCATAAGTGGTTCTTACGGTATTGTTAAATTTATTTACCTCAGTGTGAAACTTAAAAGAACGCTCCGCAGCTAGGGGGCAAAACTTTGGATTCAACTTCCTGACTTTTGACGCTTCTTATGCAAGCGTTTTGCCGGCTTTCAACTTACTGTTCTTTGAAGAACTTCCACAGTTATTATCTGAGAGCTTTCTATGCCAATCAATGCACGCATTTGTATATTTTGTGGCAAGTGCAAAATGGTATCATTGCAGGGAAGTCAAGAAATTTTCCAATCCGAAAGATTTCCAAAAACTGAATTAACTGCGAAGACTAAAGAGCCAACATTAGGTGCCCGAGCTAACTTTAAAATTATTAAATCGAAATCGGTTTCATTATGTTATTTTCACTAGAATCAGTTATGTCACTTCCATGGTATAAACTAAGTGTTTCAATTTTTGGTCGTTTTATTTCCATTTTCGAAACAAAGCAGGTGATTTATGAGTCCGGTACCCTAACAAAATATTTCCGTAAATCTTGCGTAGCATCCTGTATTCGCTTTAGTTTTGGAAATTCAAGTAATATAAGAACTAGAAAATGTGTCCTTGTGCTACTCAACTCACCTCTGCTTCTTGCATCTCCCGTCTTCCGGTGCATATCGGACACGGAAAACTTGGCCGCTCGTCCGTCGAGATACCACTGCAGCTCGATCGAAGACTTGTTACTAAGCCTGTCTAGCTGTTCCCGATTCCAGGACACGTGTTCCCAGTGATCGGTCATGATGGCGGCACACAGCATTGCCGTCGCGCTGGATGTCATCAGCAGTGTGAGGAAAAGAAATAGAACCGGTGGTGGCATCATACAACAGGTGGGGCTGGTTTGGGTCTGATGTGCGGTGGAAGTGATGGTGGCGCCGCCCTGTCCTGCAGTTGTGGCCATCGTGGTGGTCGATTGATGCATACTGGGCCTATAGTGCTGATAATAATAGCTATCGATGCTAGGGGATTTATCGTAACTGCTACTGACTAGATAATCTTCGTTTGCGTTGTAGTTGATGTTGTTGTTGGTATCATTTGAGGGACAGTTTATTCCGGTTAGGGCATCGTAGTCATACTGATAATACTGATGTGACTGCTGCCGTCGATGATTGTGCGCCGTCGGTTGAAGCTGATATCGGTACGAGTTGTTCCGGTGTATTACCGGCCAACTGCGTGTGGTTGATTTGTTCCTAACGTAGTCTGTCGGTTGTCGGTCCACGGTGGCTGTTGTGTCGGGATTCGTGGTGTAGATATCAATACCGGAGTCGTTGGTTGAGCTATGATGATGGCTGTTGCTATGGTCCAAATTGCCGGTATTATCGATTCGGGTGGCAGTTTCGGAATAGATGTGTTGTTGCTGGTTATGGTGCTTAATGTTGGATGTGGTTTCGTTTCCTGCGCCAAGTTCGAACGTGACCGTTGGTTCGTGGGTCGGCGTTGGTGGTTGGGGAGGTGTGATAATCGGTGGCGCTAGGTTGTATGTTGTTACGGTTGAAGCAGCGGGTAGACAACGAGTAGTCACCTTTATTTTACAGCCACCCGATCTGGTTTTTATGAGTCATAAATCGGTATCGCGTTTCTTCATTTTGTTCGCGGCGTTGTCTATAGTTGTCTCTAAATTTGCGACAAGTCGAGAGTCAAACTTTTCGTCTGGTTCCTTCTGCAGCTTAGATCACTGCGTTCAATCTAAATGGAAAAACGATAGAACAGATTATTGAAATACATACAAACTTAAGTTCCAGTCATGAGGATGTGCATATATAGGAAAAATGTACACATGGAAGACAACAGTCCTTAAACCTTAAAAATGCCGGTATGTCGTTATTCCAAACGCCTTTGTTTGTTTGAGTCATCCCTGCTCATTTCGTAGGGATGAGTGCTAGTAGACTCGCGTTTGTGTTGGGGATTTTTTTTTTCTTGTGCATAATTAATGTCTAGCGTTTAGAATCTAATGGGCCTAACTGCAATGATCGTTTCTCGTCATAAATTTTCTATATTTTCAATAGCTCGGCTTACCAGTTTTAGATTCTATTACAACCTTTTTCTTCATCGCATTGATTTTTTTTTAAATAAATTGATAATTCAAAGAGAAAATTGATGAAAAGAACGATAATCGAAGTTAGGCCCTTATAATTATGAACAACGCTAGATATTATGCTATTAACAGAAATTGCTTCATCGAATTGCATAAGGTACTAGTCAAGTAAGGTGGGGTAAGATGGGTCAGCTAGTTCATTAATTAATTTATTTGTTTGTCAATATCAACACTGTTCTATTGGGTTGTATGATGATTTGCTTTTTTAAACCAGCATTGAATCTGTTGATGCTGGCAAACTTTAAAATATATAATACAAGCAGATGAACCATCTTGTCCCGTGAGCTATCTTGCCTCACCTTACATTTATTTCGAATTGATTGTCATGCTGTGGATATAATCTTCAATAGTAAGGTAAATAACGTTTGTTTTTGTGCTTATTCCAACAGGGAGTTTTCTCAAATCGCAATTGTGATTGTATGTTTCGAGGAAGACCTTTGTAATAACTTAAAAAAGAAGATAGTGGTTTTTTTCTGTAGAATAATAATTTTAATTGGGTCGACACAAAAAAAAACAATATAATGCAAAAAACCTTAAAAATAATGTAACGATATAAACCAAAAAGTGTGTGTAATCTTCATCTTTAATTAACGGCATTATTTGGTTGATTTATTTTATTGATTTGTAGGAAATTATTGTTTTGTATAAATGTATGCATCTTTCTTGTGATTGACTAAGCTAAAAGAGAATCGTCAACCGTTAATTGCTATGTCAATATTTAGAGAACCTAAATCCAGACAGACAGACTCATGTTGAAATAGCTCTTGTTTATTTGGTATCCGGATATTCGTGTGAATGACAATGGATTCATATCTTATCGATGCTTTCATATACGCGAATCGTGTGTGGATTTTCACCCAATTCTTGATTGATTGTCTAGTTGCGCGGGTAGGCTGATAATAACATACAATCTAATTTTGGCATCCCAAGTAATCCATCCTGCACATCCAGGACACAACTGCATAGTGACCAGGAGGGCCCACACTGTAGAAAGTTGCCAGAGCCTCAGATTAAATCCCATTATAAAGGTCATTTGCATTTCCTAATTTGTTTTTTTTTATCAATATCATCTAAACCTCATTAAAACTGTTTAAAAACAATTGTGTTCATATTAAAATCCACCAAAACGCTTTTTGGATGAGTTCAACAATTCGAAAGAGATTTTGTTTTCTTTTTGATGATTTGAAAACTTTATTGCTGTTGAGAGTATGAGATAAATAGTTTCCACCAGAGATGGATCGCTATTTTGGGAGTTTTCAATGCGTTAAATCCAATTAAATTTTCAGCTAACCCATCTTAAATAGATAGTTTAATGCTACTGATCTCCCTATCAAAATCCAAAATTTGTATACTGAAAAGGCAATCCAGTTTCCTACAACTTTGTCTCAGACGTCATTTAGGTTAGATGCGCCGTTTTAGTGATACGATTTATTGAACAATATCGAATAAGCCATTAAAAAAAATAGGCGAGTGTCATAATGGTCGAATTTTAGCACAAACTTGGTTCATTGCCCCTAGTGAAGAATTATGCGAAGTTTCATGGAATTCTGAGAGGTAAAATCTAAAACCGTCACGTTGTCGAAAATAACGTCACGACCTTATTATACGCCCTTTAATTGTTGATAAACTAGGTATACAAAACAAAAGTAGACATTGATTATAACCTTAGCAGCATCTGTCTACTTGCCTGTAGAACAGTGTAGCTAGTGAGATAGTTACGCATTTAGTAGACTGTTTATACAAACACCAATATTTTTAAAACGATTTCAAAGTTCAATCTTTCACTTTTCATAATACATCCTAATGACCAATTTGGCTGAATGGCTTCCGGTCTAAAGACGTTCAGAGCAAAATGTTTAGATTCTGTGACGTAGAGAACTTTGAGTTCCGAAACAATGACCACATGGTTTAGATCATGGGTTTAGCAACTTTGACAAAGACATTTTATGTTGAGCTCTTCATTTGATTGAGTTTAATCAATTATTTAGTTTCAGCTAAGGTGATCCTAGAAAATATTTTTTTTTTGCATTGTATCTTTTTTGTATCACGTTTCTGGTGGTGTAAGAGAGAGTTATAGAGCTAGATGTTGTCTGCAGGCAAAATTGTAGGAAATAACAATTTTGCCTGTAGACAACATGTTGTTATATTCATGAGTTTCACGTTACTTTCGAACAATTTTTAATTTTTTTAAAAATTAGTTAACTCAATTTAAAATGAAATGTTGCATTTTGTGTGACCTTTTAGTTGCCGTTGCAAGAAAAATATCTATTCGACGTCTTGAGATAATAAAACTAAAAAACTGCTTACATTTTGGGTTAAAATTACCCATAAGTTTTGCGACAAAAATAGAAAAGAAATTTGAACAGCAAATAAAATGGAAAACTTAATTCAGTCACATGTACCAATTATCGCTCACGCTTTGATGAGCTGTTCCAATTAACGCTCATTTTTATTTGATTCGAATTGTATTTATTGATATTGTTTAGAATGGAAGAACAATTAACATGAAGTAATGAAATTGTTTTGTTAGCGGAATGCTTAAATAAAACAGCAAAAAAGGTTATCTTCCATTTAATTCCACTTAATTAATTTTGGTATCCATGACAGATACGTATTTCGACTACAATGTGCAGTCTTCATCAGTGTCATTCCCACTAAAGAACTTATCAAAATCTAACCCCCTTAAGTACTCATCCCCTAGGTATAAAAGTCAAGATAATAGGTATAAAAATGAAACTACAATGTGTTGAATCGGGACCTAACTAACTTATAAAAACCAAAGATTTAAGTAAACTAAAGGAGAAAAATCTATTCAACTCTCTAAAAAGAAAAATCCCAAAGGCTTGGTAGCCATCATAATGTTTTAATTAACAATTAACATGTTCTATAACAGTTAATTTTATTATATTAACGTAACATTATCGATTCAATTGTCCTTTTAATAGCTATTTGTTCGAAATTTGTTGTTTTTTTTTCGGAATTTTTAATTGTATTTTACGAACAATGTTCAGTTTAACATGCTTAACTGTGCAAATGCACAGTTCGAAAAGAAGTGTAAATTTCTGTTCAATATGATGCACACAAATGGAGCATCATATATCATATAAGTTTACATTATATATCATGTAAAGTTCTAGCACAATTCATGCAATGTAGCAAATATTGTATACAAAAGCCCATCTTTGTAAACAACATTGTTTACAAGTTGCTCGGTTGTGTGAAATTAAATTTAAGTTTACGTGAATGAATGTTTACATCACAATTAAAATTCAGAATTTTTATCTGTGTGGCATGATTCATCCAATCCATAATCCAAACTTCTTCATCTGTATATATGTATGTAAGTAGTCACCATCCTAGCTTCGGTCTTGCCCTGCAAGCGGCTCTACTCAACAGCAAGATCAAATCTCGTCATTCTGAATTCAACATACTGTTGTATAAATGGACCAAAAAGGGTTGGACGAGCCCGTAAGCAGAGACACTTACGAGAAACCCGGGGGAATAAGAGAATCTCCTTCCAACAATATGATCCAACAAAACGAATAACGAAATTCGCAATACATTTTAAGCTTTCCACGGGATGGTTTGTTTTAGAAGAGCGCGTCAAATTCATTGCACTGTTGAAGTGAAATGAAACTATCTAAAATGACAGTACACATTCCCACCTAGACTACGGTTGGCACTCCACTCCATTGTCCAGTTACAAATTCAATGATGCCCTGATGCTCCCCCCCAACCCAGCAAAAAAAATATAAATAATTATGCAATATATAATGGTATATATTTTATATTGCAAAATATTAAAAATAAATATGTATTACAAAATACAAATAACCAAGATTTTAATATATTGCAATTAACCTTTTTTTAATCCATCATATTTTATTGGAACTTATTCACTTATACACACATTTTTTTGTAATGTGCCATAATGACATAACGCATCATAGAATATTTTGAAAATATAAGACTGAAGTAATGAAGCGTTTGTTTATTTTTGTGGTCACAAAAATTACATGATATTTTCGACAGAGGCGTCGCGTGCCTCGTTTGTTTACCTATGAACCAAACTTTGTTCGTTATAGCTTACCGCCATATATTAGTTTTTGTTTTAATTTTGAATGCTCCATGAATTTGAGGGACACATTCTCAATTACTATATTAATCACTACCTAACGTAACATTTGAAGGGCCTATCATGTTGCGTAAAGAAAACTTGTATGGCCCTTTTCGCGCTAACCGAAGTAGGAGGAATTGAAAAACTTAATTATTTCTCGTTTTTATCATAAGGCTAACTCTTTCGACTGAAGTGTTATTAAGAATATCCGTCAAACACTTCCGAAAACATTTTTTGACACAAAACAGTGTCAAAATCTAGAGAAAATTCATGAAGTCTCCTGGGTAGCCAACTTGAATTAATCAACTCTTTATTCATCAGAACAACACTATCAG